TGAAGTACTAGATACAAACAAATTACCTAGTAAATATAAAACTCACCATTAAAAAATGGAAATATATTCTTATTATAAAAATAAAAGAAGAAATAAGTAGTAATATAAAATATCCACATATTTTGAGAATAGGAAACATGCACTTAACCCACTAAATCAATGCAACTTTGTCACTGAAAACCCCGCTCCAATACATGCTAAACGTGAAATTAAAGCCTATTATGATACATTAAGGTGAAATGGCCAAATTATACCAAAACACGGAAAATCTTCATAAACCCTGCAGCCTCATTGCATCATTCACTCAAAGAAGAAAACACTGTGCTACCACTGCTTCCGGCGAAGCTATATATTTATACATATAATATACTATGTACAATTTTCAAGTGTATGTAATTGCTTCTCGGTATTTTCCGACTATTTTTATTCTTACTACAGGCACTTTTACGAACGAGTAACAACTGATATAGATTTATGGCTGTGTAGTGTGGGCATATTATAATCGGTGCCGATACACATTGTCCATTGATTAGGTAAGGTTAGCAATTTATACATTCTCCCATGAACAAATATTGTAAATACTGTAACTTTATTGAAGGTTTAATTATAACTTGTTCTTAATTTTAAAGTAGAATTGTAACTATATATAATTGTTGAAGCCTTGACAGATAATAATTACAAAATTATCAAAAACATATTAGATATTCATTAGTGATGGATTATAATATTTATCTACCCGTCTTGAATGTATTATAAATATTCATAATATAACTTTGATTCGTTATATTATAACGATTAAAATATATACGATATATTATATGTTATATGTATAAAATTAGATCTCGTAGTTAAAATTATATTTATAATAGTGACAAAATTAATCAATTAATAATTATAGAATTAATATATATAATACGTATATATTAAATTACTTAATTCAAATTTAAATTGAATAATACGTACCAACTTTTATGTGATTAATTAGGTTAAATACATTAATGAGGAGTCAAAAAGTATGATATTTATATTACACTATCACAAATTAAAAAAATATACAAACTTTTATATAATTGTATGTTAACATATAATTTGTGTTATATAGGTGCGTGTTTATCATGTAGGTATATAAAATGTTTACGATATATATTGCGATTTTTTTATAATTATTTGTTCGCTTTCGTACTCACAAACTATTATTCGGTAAATATTAAACTGTGTAAGAAAAATAAATTATTTCATACAAATATACATATTTTAAGTTTTAACTATAGCAGGTAAAGCCATATTCAGTTTTTTAAATGTTAATTGTTAAACACTGTATAATAATATAGTACCTACAGTATTGTCAATTGATTTTTGTACTGAAAAATTATATTTTATATAACATAAGAAAATCATAATTAGGTACATAAACGTAATCATATTATAATGGTTCTTAATGCACATCCAGCATACTCTCTGGTACTTTGCATTCCATATTCTCAGCTAAGTTTCTTCCACTTAATGGTTTTGGTATGTTTTATTATTAATTTGATACATACAATATACATCATTAGACTCACCGCAATTCGATTATAAATTTAGTCTCTTTTTAACTTCCTTAAATAATGTAAGTTAGGTACCTATTTTATTTATTTATTTTAATATTAATAAATGATAAAAGTTACCTTTATAACTTTAATCGTTACATGATATATTTTTTCTTTACGTCTTATAAAACAATTTTAACTTATAACTTATACAAGTATTAAGTATAACTCAAAAAAAGATAGTGTTATATTATTAAGTATGAAAATTATGAAATTTGCCATAAACAAAATTATTTTATTTTTAATTATACGAAATAAAAATACCTATGTACCTACATATTTTTTCTGTTTATCTTTATCAATATATTTTTTATTTACTATGAAACTTAGAATCTGTCCAAACGTTGAGACATTACAGGTTTAATGGTGTTTGAAATTATTTATAAGAAAAATTCAAATATTTTAAATACTAACTTTTATGAGGTTGACAAACAATTGATTCAATCACAGGCATATTAATATTAGACAAGTGATGACGGAGCTTTTGCAAAATGTTATCATCGTATATTAAATATAATATTATACGTTTTACTACCACAGTGACCTTTATTTAAATTTTAAATACATTAGCTATAGTCCGGACTGGATTAACCTATTGAACGTTTAAGCTACGGCCTTAAGCTTTTGACATTTTTGATCATTTACTAGTGTACACTGCTCGGTACACTATCTTGTAAATATATTATATATAGATAAACCATATAATATATTATATTGTTCGTGTATCAAGTTATAATCGAATCAGTAAAATATTTGCCCTTTTAACACGATTTTAAACAGGCTTTAGGATGGATAGGAGAATATTATCTCTCACTAGTTTTTGAAGAGACAATTTCTACTTTGAATTCCAAATACTATATACATTTAGCTAGGTACTACATATTTTTCAATGATTGGCAGTAAGAAATACATATGCAATTTTAAATTTATTATAATTAATTGAAATACAAAGTAGTTTTTGAAAATACGTCCATAAACAGCAAAATAATTGTGATAAAATTTCCTAAATAAAATCTTGACAATAATTATCAGGTAACAGACCTTTGAATCATTTTTCGTATTTTGCTAGATCGTCGATTGAATTATAAATTGCTACCCAACTCTGTTACATGGTTTTTTTAATTAAAAAAGGGTTAAAATACATATAACAAAAAATAAATTTTTATTGTTGTTTCTTTATAATTTAAAATGTAGGCTTAAAATATTTATATTATTTTTAATAATATATACCTAATTAATGTTATTTAACTATTGTTTGAATAAATTATAATAACATAGACCTACTTAATAAATTCCAATAATTTTTTATGATTTGTTTTCACAGTACAATAATTTATTAGGTACATAAAAAAGTGACCTTGTCGTAAGGGATTAGATTAGTTTTTCTTTATTAAATTAATTAAGAATCAAAATGAAAAACTTTTCCATAATATTCTGACATTTTAATACAATAGGTATGTTTTGCACTCTGGGAGATGATTGAAACCTCAAAAGGCTCAAAATGTATCAGAAGCATTAGGAATAGAATTTCCTGGTACAAAATCAGGTGGATGGATTACGTGTATTTGAAAAACGGAAGCTGATTATAATGTATATACATATAATATCTATGAGAGAAAAGTTATGCATATGACATATTTTATATTATAGTTACTTGGTAAGCGTATAATGTAGTTATATTCTCAAGATTTTTATTGGAAGAAAAAAATCTAATCCCTTCCCTATAGTGTACAACTGTACAATGCAACTTAAATATTGACTTATCGAATATAATATTATATCAATGAAAGACACAAATAATAATACTGTTTGCTTATAATATATTATTATAATGCATAGGCGTATAGCGTTGTAATAATGTAGTATTAACTGTATTATTTTTCATAAAAATTACTATAGTAATTTATGCCATTTGTGGTCCATCTACAAAAATAAGGGACTTAAGCAACCTCAGTTTTTTAATTGAAATTGTGGTACTGCTAATGGATTATGATTAATAATTTCTTCAAATAGTTTTATTTTTTTCAATAATTCATCAATAGCGCTGACCTACATCATTTTAGTGCTAAAAAAATACAGGTATTGGATACCGATTTTAATACCGGTTAGAACAGTTAAAACCCGAAATCGATATAAAAATTGAAAATGAAATTGTTACGACACATCGTAACGACATTATCGTCCGCGTCGCAGCGACCAAAGGTCCACGACTGAACCCCCGCAAGCTCCGCGTGCCCGTGCGGAAATCGGTGTTATCTGCTTTCCTCTCCGAGCAATGCGCCATTAAAAATTATTACTCCTATCTATTATTCCGTCTTATTATCATTATTTAAATTAATTATTATGTACAATTGATATCGTTGAAAATGATATCAATTTCACTATTGTTTTTTGCCGTATCATTCGGATCGTTGTTGTCGTAAACTCGTACCTACTCGTTCGTTCGTCTCGTCGTATATTATATACACGAGACGTTATATTCTTCCTGTACCATAAAACTAAATAAAATCTTTGTTTACGCCATTGCGGCAACTTCAAATCATCTACCTTTTTTTGTTATTAAATCATCGCCCGTCGTTGACATTGCGTCAACGTCAAACGACAACATATCGGCACACTTCGTGCTGGTCATTGGCAACCGCAGTCGATCGAGTAAGTAGGTACATCACACATATTATTACGTCGTTCCTGCCAGTCTTCGTGGGGAATCCAATCTCTTGCCCGAGTTCGGGACTGGTGCCAGAGTCAAGCGCGTAAGTCCGCCAGCAACCCAGTGCGTTGTGTGAGTGGCCGCTCCAGGTCGTCGGATTGCAGTGCTCACCGGACCGGACCTTCAGCTGCCGTAGTTTTTAAGTAGTTTTAAGTTCAGCCTAAATTGTAATTGCGCCCTGTGGTCATTGCACCAGACCGATCAGACCACAGGGACCCCGGCCCCATACTTAAACTGTACCATCCTTAATTCCGTTGTACCACTTCCTTCCATTCGTTCCTCGTATTGTCTGCCGCCGCGAGGTTTCGTCACGGGCATCTTAGGTTGCCTATGCACTGAAGCCAGGGGCACATTAAGTTGCCTATACACCATACATCTAGGGGCATTTTTCACTTAAAAAAAAGTCTCATCGTCGACTGAGGTCGACTGGTCCTTCACCGAACACCCTCCATCTTCTCATACATATTATTTGGTCCTTCGAGCCGGATGTAAAGGAAACAAACCGTGACCTTTTCCTATTGTCCATCACCGTTAAAAAAATAAAATAAATAAAGTAGCATCTACACGCTACATCATTGGTTGGTATCGTTCGTTTCTGATTCTTCGCTGTTCATTTGTCTACTTCATCTACGTCTCACTGATTCAGTTCCGTGCTCGTATATTCTGATTGTCACCTCGGATTTATTCTGACCATTGTCACAATGTCACCTCCAGTTTCAATGGGTTATGTTGAAGCCAAGGCTCGCGTGCTCCGTGGTACGGACCGAGTCACCTCCTTCATCTCTGCCGCAGGAGAGTACAAGGCAGACCCTCAAAATGCTGGCAAACGTGCCAAAATAGAACAAATGGTACAACACGTGAATGAAATCCGTAGAAATGTCGAAGCTGATATCCAGTCCATGGAAATAGCTGTTAGTCAGGGTACAGCGCCGATCGATGTCACTGATACCAAAGACAGTCGGACACTTTCTGCGAAATTCGATAATCTTTATTACGAACTCATCGCCTTCGCGGATGTACATCACATCACGATATCGTCGCCCCATGACCAAACACTCTCTTCGACTATAAATCAATCAACCTACGGTGGGAACCTTGCCCATTATCAGTTGCCAAAACGAAAGTTCCCAACATTTTCTGGCAAAATCACTGAGTGGCAAGGATTCGATGATCTTTTCAACTCGATACTGTCGCACACGCCCAATCTTCCCGATGTGGAGAAATTTGAGTTTCTGAAAACGTCTCTCGAAGGCGAACCGCAATCACTTGTTGCACACCTTACCTTGACGGCCGCTAATTACCACAGTGCGTGGGAAATATTACGAGGTCGATATGGGAACAAAAGAGATCTAGCCAGGGTTCATCTTGAAGCTCTGCTGACTCCGCATAAAGTCCTATCTAACGATGCCACTTCAATTAAATCGTTGATCCACTCGATCTTGGAACACACAGCAGCGTTAGATAACCTAGATCTAACAACACGACACTGGAGTCCAATATTAATACATATGTTTGAAAAATATTTAGACTATGACCTCCGGGCGCGGTGGGAAATGATTGTTGGTGACAGACACCAACCACAGGTTACCGAATTCGTCGATTTTTTACGCCTGCATGTGCGGTCAGCTGAAGCGCGTTCAGGAGCCTACTCATCGGTGACACCTGCAGGTCCTGTTAGTCAAGTTAAACCTACTCCAAGATCACAAAATCCAAAATGACAGCATTTTTCCTCGTCAGCCAAAGCTTATATTGCAACCACCAACCATCCGCCATCTCCAACCATAACATGTCCATTATGTAAACAGACCCATTCAATACGCCAGTGTTCGCTCTTCGCGGATCAAGGTCCCAATGAACGGTTCCAAACTGCGAAGACCCATCAACTATGCATCAACTGTTTGGGTTCGGGGCATTCCGTAGGAAAATGTCCATCAACAAAAACTTGCTCGTCCTGCAAAAAACAACATCACTCACTACTGCACTTTCCAGCCGGTACACCCACAGGCACAAGTGGTCCGCCGCCAACTTCGATGATTGTGGCAGCAAAAAACCCTCAGTCCATACTACTATCTACGTTACTTGTAAGTGTCGTATCAGTCGATAATCAGAGATATACCCTTCGTGCATTGTTGGATACGGGTGCACAGGTCAGCTTCATTACGAAGCAAAGTGCCGATCGCTTATCGTTAAACCGTCGTCGTTGTTCAACACAAGTCAGTGCTTTCTCGGGTGCCTCAGTCAATGTCGTGTCAGGCGTCACATCTATTGTAATGTCACCGGTTGGGAAGCCGGACCCGTCTGTCCCTCTCGACGTCTTGATTGTGTCAAAAATCACTGACTACCTACCTCAAACAACATTCAATTTCACTGCGTGGCCCCATTTAAATAAGCTTGAGTTAGCAGACCCAAGTTTCAATATTCAAGGGCCCATTGACATTCTGCTTGGGGCAGATGTCGCCCCAGCGATCCTGACTGGTGGCCGTGTTGCTGGTCATCAATCACATCCGACTGCTTTCGGAACTATCTTTGGATGGGTTTTGATGGGACCAATGGCACCAATCACCACAAATACAGTCACGTCAATGTTAGTGACCACTGAAACGGCACTCGAAAACTCTCTTACTAAATTTTGGGAAATAGAAGAGCCACCTCAACTACAACACTTGAGTCCCGATGAAGTTCTAGCTGAAGAAATATTTTTATCGTCCGTCAAACGTCTAACATCTGGGCGATTCAGTGTTGCACTACCATTTAAACAGCCACGTCCGATCCTCGGAGACTCGAAAGGCATGGCACTAAAGCGACTTCACTACTTGGAGAACCGATTATCACGTGATGAAGGTCTCTCAAAACAGTACCTGGAGTTTATGACCGATTACCTCACTAGTCAGCATATGGAAGTTGTTCCTATGAACCAAAGAATGACGCCATACTGTTATTACATACCACATCACTGCGTCCTTCGTCCGGAAAGTCATACGACAAAACTCAGGGTAGTCTTCGATGCATCCGCTACTACCACTGCAGGACGAACACTGAATAGCAGTTTGTACACTGGTCGAAAACTACAACAGGATCTACCACAGATCCTCATTCGTGCCCGAACCCATAAGATTCTGTTCACTGCGGACATTAAACAAATGTACCGGCAGATTGAAATCCATCCGGAAGATCGTGATTATCTAAGAATTCTATGGCGCTTTGATCGTGATAAACCTATCGAAGAATATCGTTTACGCACTGTCACGTATGGTACGTCCTGTGCTCCTCATCAGGCCTTACGCACTTTGCAGTACTTAGCCGAACTCGAAAAGAACACATACCCCACCGCCGCTCAGATCATCATGCATGATACGTTCGTTGACGACATCCTTACAGGGGCCAACACCCCGGAATCCGCGCTTGAACGTCAAGAACAATTGATCTCACTATGCTCCCGAGGACACTTCCAGCTCAGGAAATGGGCCAGTAACTCGTCCGTGGTCCTCCAATCGATTCCGGAATGTGACCGATCTATGTCTACTGACGTTCTGTTCGATGACGAGTTGGAAGCCGGGTTGAAAATCCTCGGCATGCGGTGGAACCCGAAACAGGACCATTTCTCCTATTCCGTCCAGCGTCCTAGCACAAAAACTACCAAACGCTCGATTCTATCGGATCTCGCTCGCATCTTCGACCCGCTTGGTCTCCTTTCACCGACCACCTTCTTAGCAAAACACTTAATGCAGTTGCTATGGACGTCTGGGATCGGATGGGACGACCCAATTCCTGAACAGATTCTTACAATCTGGCAGCGGTATCAATGCGACCTGAAAAGTATCCAGAATTTGAGTGTTCCACGCCGAATAACCATGGACGGAGAAGTCAAATACGAACTCCATGCATTTTCAGACAGTTCTGAGAAAGGATACGCGGCAGCCGTATATCTGCGTTGTGAGCACCGAGAAGGAATTCAATGCCATCTTATCACCGCGAAATCAAAAGTTGCACCTCTAAAACGAGTAACCATTCCCCGTCTCGAGTTGTGTGGAGCTGTGTTGGCCGCTCAACTGCTACATTATGTGCAAGAAGTCCTCAAGTCTGTCCTCCCCGTCGAAGCGATGCATGCCTGGACGGATTCGACTACCACTCTCGCGTGGATAAAATCTTCACCACATAGGTGGGCTACATTCGTCGCAAACAGAACCAGCCAGCTTCAGAGTCTCACACCACCATCGCTGTGGCGTTACGTCCCAACCGGTGAAAATCCAGTTGACTGTGCGTCTCGTGGACTCTACCCAACAGAATTAATGCAACATTCAATGTGGTGGAACGGACCTGCCTTCCTATCCAAGAAAGACAGTGAGTGGCCACCATGTTCCACACTCAGCGCGTCACATTCGACTGACCTCGAAATCCGACACACTACTCTTTTGTTAACCTCATCCACTACCATCTTCGACCAACTGTTTCTTCGGATTTCTTCACTGCAAAAAATTATCCGCATCGTCGCATACTGTATACGAGTCGTTGTACGAGTTAAGCAAAGCACCAGAAACCTGTCACCTGTGGAGCTAGCTCACGCTTTGAAAGTCATCATACTTGCCGTGCAACAAAACGCATTTGCCGATGAACGTAAACGGCTCCGAGATCCAAATAACAAAAGTACCAGTAAATTCCGTGGCCTAAATCCATTCATTGATAAACATGAAGTTCTTCGAGTTGGAGGTCGATTAGTTCACGCGGACATTCCTTATGAACAGAAACATCCCATACTCTTGCCACGCTCACATCGATTCACAGATCTGCTCATCGACGACTTCCATTTACAACATAAACATCCTGGAGCTACCACACTACAATCCATCATTCAACAACAATATTGGATCGTAGCTAGTCGACAAGTCATCAAATCTCGCCTCCGACTCTGCCTTGCCTGTTACCGACTCCGTCCTCGTAGCGTTCAGCCAGTCATGGGGAACCTACCAAAGTTTCGGCTACAGCAAATCAAACCATTTATCGTCACAGGAGTTGACTATGCCGGACCAATAACTTTGAAAACGTCAACAACTCGCCGAGCTATCTCGTGCCAAGCGTACATATGTCTCTTTGTCTGCATGACAACAAAGGCTCTGCATTTGGAACTAGCTTCGGATCTATCCACAGAAGTATTTCTGATGGCTATGTGTCGGTTCATCTCCCGTCGTGGCCCTGTTGAACAAATACATAGCGATTGTGGCACTAACTTTGTGGGTGCAGCAAACTTGTTCCAGACCGTTGACAATTTCACTCGATCCACCGAGTACCAGACAAAATGCCGAGACTACCTCACTAAACGTAACATCAGCTGGCATTTCAACCCACCATCTGCCCCTCACTTTGGAGGACTGTGGGAGGCTGGAGTTAAATCGGTCAAGACGTTACTCTATCGAACTCTCGGGCTCCAGCGACTTAAATACGAGGAACTCGAAACACTACTAAGTCGAATCGAAGCGACATTAAACTCAAGACCATTAGGTGCGCTGAGTCATGACCCTCGCGACTTCGAAGCGCTTACGCCTAGTCATTTCTTAACTCTAATGCCCAGCACGGCGATTGTTGAACCTAACTTAGACTCAGTCCCCCTATCACGCCTCCAGCGCTGGAGACTCATAAAGGATCTACACACACATTTCTGGAAACGTTGGCAATGTGACTACTTGCAGACCCTACAACGTCGAACCAAATGGACACAAGGTCAAGAGAACATCAAGGTAGATACACTTGTCCTCATTCGAGAACCAACCACGTCCCTAAGCTGGAGACTCGGCCGAATCACTCAACTTCACCCCGGTCTGGACGGTGTAGTTCGAGTAGCAACGGTTCAGACAGCAAACGGTCTCCTCAAACGACCAACAGTCAAGCTATGTCCATTACCCATATGTTGAATGCGGGATGCATTCAAGGCGGGCAGTATGTTACGACACATCGTAACGACATTATCGTCCGCGTCGCAGCGACCAAAGGTCCACGACTGAACCCCCGCAAGCTCCGCGTGCCCGTGCGGAAATCGGTGTTATCTGCTTTCCTCTCCGAGCAATGCGCCATTAAAAATTATTACTCCTATCTATTATTCCGTCTTATTATCATTATTTAAATTAATTATTATGTACAATTGATATCGTTGAAAATGATATCAATTTCACTATTGTTTTTTGCCGTATCATTCGGATCGTTGTTGTCGTAAACTCGTACCTACTCGTTCGTTCGTCTCGTCGTATATTATATACACGAGACGTTATATTCTTCCTGTACCATAAAACTAAATAAAATCTTTGTTTACGCCATTGCGGCAACTTCAAATCATCTACCTTTTTTTGTTATTAAATCATCGCCCGTCGTTGACATTGCGTCAACGTCAAACGACAACATATCGGCACACTTCGTGCTGGTCATTGGCAACCGCAGTCGATCGAGTAAGTAGGTACATCACACATATTATTACGTCGTTCCTGCCAGTCTTCGTGGGGAATCCAATCTCTTGCCCGAGTTCGGGACTGGTGCCAGAGTCAAGCGCGTAAGTCCGCCAGCAACCCAGTGCGTTGTGTGAGTGGCCGCTCCAGGTCGTCGGATTGCAGTGCTCACCGGACCGGACCTTCAGCTGCCGTAGTTTTTAAGTAGTTTTAAGTTCAGCCTAAATTGTAATTGCGCCCTGTGGTCATTGCACCAGACCGATCAGACCACAGGGACCCCGGCCCCATACTTAAACTGTACCATCCTTAATTCCGTTGTACCACTTCCTTCCATTCGTTCCTCGTATTGTCTGCCGCCGCGAGGTTTCGTCACGGGCATCTTAGGTTGCCTATGCACTGAAGCCAGGGGCACATTAAGTTGCCTATACACCATACATCTAGGGGCATTTTTCACTTAAAAAAAAGTCTCATCGTCGACTGAGGTCGACTGGTCCTTCACCGAACACCCTCCATCTTCTCATACAGAAATCGAAAAAAATCAATACGCTGGTATAAACAGAACCGAACTCAGAAAAACCGATATCCGAAACTGAAATCAAAATCGTAAAAAATAAATACCAATATCCGAAACTGAAATCAAAAACGGAAAAAATAAATACCAATATCCAAAACAGAAATCGAAATAGGAAAAAAATGTTTTCGGTTTCAAGCCCTGGTTGTAAGCTTAAACGTCCGTTAACCATAGAGTTTTTTTGTTCAATATTGATTATAATAAATTCATACAAACCTGTCTACTTACATATGACACGTGGGTACTCTGTACCATGATCTGATTTCTGGACCTATCGATTTGTAGATTGAATTGGAAATATATTCATTATTACAGAATTGTTTAGGCATATTTTTTTTCTGCTAACGAGGGGAGGGAATACGTGGTCAATGGTTGAGCGAAAATAATCTACAGCTACCATGCGGCTTGCAATGCCCTTATTGTGGCGTGTATGTGTGGTTATGAGTGTATTTGTTTTTGTCCTGTTATTAAAAACAAAAATGTTTATTTGGTAAACTTTAACGGTTTTAATTTAAAAGGTAAAAATAAACATCTGACGTACACCTTTGTTATACCTATGCTCAACCGTAACTGGGTAAATAATATCCTACAGTGCCATACTGCTATTGTACACAGTAGAATGTTGAAAATCAATCGTAAGCGTCACACACATACAACCTGCAGTACCTATAGGTAGGTTCGTTTTCGTATTGAAACTAAAACCCGTCAGTTCCACGATATAATGCTCATCCTTCTTCATATATAACAGACGGCAAATCAATTCCCGTAGGGTTTTATCACTGAGATTCAACCGCGTGGGTTGTATTGACAAATTAACGTTATTTGAGTTTCAAAAAAAAAAAAACGGTGACTGATTTTTTTTCCATGTTGTACCCTCCTATCTTCACGTGGATTTTATGTCAATATTATTTAAAAATCTTTTGAACCAAATATGTGGAAACATTTATTTTACCTACCGTTTTAAACCCAAAAATAAAACACCGTTCAATTTAATTTAGTCCAAAAAGTCGGACTTACAATAATAATATATAATAAAAATAGAAGAATGATACATTTTAAAATATATGTTGCATAATCACCTAACAGCAGTTTTGAGGCCCTCTTAGTATTGATCTGTGTATTCGGCACAAGCACGGTAATACAATAAATTCATATATTAAATTTAATTTGTATCGCCGGTTTGTGTAGTTGTAATGCCGCAATAGCACTTTCATTATTATTTAGGTACTGAATGATTCACCAAGCATGTGCTCACCCCCATATTTTCCTTTGAAAATTCCTTAAAAACAATTCTTTTGCTGACAATATTCAGTGAAATACTGCAATGGTTGTCATTTGGACAAACGATAATTTAATCATTAAATAGTATAAAAAATCTACGTAGTTGAAAATATGGTACACAAGACTGATTCCCAAAGTCACAATTTGAACAAATGCATGAGAGACTTGGTGAATCACTCTGTACAATATTATACACATGGTGATCGATTCGTATGATATTGTATAATAATAATATATACCTACTTATACATAATAATGGCTCAGCATGAAGAATCTCTTATATATTAATATCAACTGCGCGTTTCCCGATCGTGTCGTCGTCTATTCAGCGTAATATATTATAAATTATCATAATGACATCGGGAAAAAATATAACATACCTACATTTTCACATCAAGTATAGATTTTATGCAGCCGAACGTACAACAGTAATAATGCGGATTACAAAACGTTTCGAGTGGATAGGCATGTGCACGTTATCGAGTGGGACCGTTCTTGTAATATATTATTATATACGGAAAATAGGATATGTCTTTATACACACACACACACACACACACACACACACACACACACACACACACACACACACACACACACACACACACACACACACACACATACATACATACATACATACATATTATATATATTATATAAACGAGCGCTAATTACGCGTATAATATTCTCGTTGGAAAAGTCGATAACTTCAACAGGGGTGGCTGCGGCACTATCAGTGTGTGTGTGTGTGTGTGTGTGTGTGTGTGTGTACATAGTGTAGTTATCGTGCCATTGTTTCGTCGTCGATCGGGCACAAAAACGTTTTCAGTACCTACCGTGGGAAATTCACGCTGCACATACACATTATAAATTATAATGTACGAGTGCAATTTATTCACAAATTGTCAACTGTGTGCGTGAACTTCCACGATACAAACCGAAAGCGGTGGCCCGTACTCGTCTTCGACGAAAACCTGCACGTAAAAATAATACCATAATGTATAGCTGCAGCATGATATACCGCTATGGTGTTATTTGTTTAGGACCGTGATCTTGTCCACGGTATAAATTACGAAATTCTAAGCAATTTTTTTGATTGTAATTTTATTATTGTGTCATAATAAGTAATTGATCGTGTGCTATAAAAAAAAATCATCAAAGGTCTGACACGATGATGAATTCTTTAAGCTTGTATTATATTTTGTTTTAAACGAAACTTTCTGTTTTAAATTCCTATATATTACGAAGAGAACAGAATAATTTTTCAAAGATTTTTGAACTTTTAAACATAAATGTATCTATTTCTCGAAACTGACTTAAAATCTCTTTAAAATGTATCAATGAAAAAAACTATAAAAGTTTAAATACAAGAGTCTTATAGAGGTGGAGATACTCTGTACATTTTTACAGCACCATTTCTCAGAGTTAAACATTAAATGCTTATAAAATATTAATAAACTGTTAGTTTAAATGGTTGAAACATATACATGTAGATACAAATGTTGGTACATATTATACATTATACATACACATGTTGGTACATTTATAATAAAATATTATTTATCTATATTTTATCAAATTTAAATTTAAAATTGTTGTTTGAAAACTGTATAAAACATTAAAAAAAAGCAATAACAATAGTGGAATTTATTTATTCAGAGTTAGGTCGGTAACTTCATTTTGTTTTTTTCGCAAAATTGTATAAGTATGTGAATCGTGAGGTTTTATCCCCCGAGACTTGCGCAAGTTATTAAATAATGATTATAATAATAAAATAAAAACGTCCATCTCTGGTCAACAGAACGTCATTACACTTTAAAAACGCTACGGAAAAAATTGACCGAGAAAATGCGATCGTCGTAAAAATGCACCTTATAGGTACAATATTATATAATAATATAATCATGTACAGTGACGTGGACCGGGGGACATGACCTCTTCGTGACGGGGAAAAAATAAAAAATACAAAAAAAAACACAAAGAAAATACCGGGAAAAAATGGATTAAACGGAGGCGAACACGTCACTGCCGCAATGACACTCTGTATACGCCAAGTAGTCCTTATATATTTTCGTATATATTATAACGTAGAGCGATTCGGGCTAGAGGAAAAGATCGTCGAAAACGTGGTGGCAGCAAAAGTATTACGGGCGAGATGAGAGAGAGGGGTTGGAGGGCCGTGTGGTAGAGTCGCGCTGTGGTGGTGGGGTGAAAGAGAGAAAAAAAATCGACCGCCGTGTCCGGAAAACGCCTACGCTTCTACGGCTGATCAGACAGGCAGCGCGCAAAAGGACCGAAGCTGTACACGCTTACCGCCGCCGCCGCCGGTCTCTCGTCGGTTTACCACCTCGGCCGCGAAGTTTTGCCACTGTACATTATAGTCGCTGTTGCCGCATTGTGCGCGCCTGTTTGTTCGACCCCCCGAAAAAAAAAAAAAAAAACTTTACGATAAACAGCCACTAAACGCCTTTACCCGCGACCAACGAAAGAGACGACTAGGATACATTTATATGATGTATATATGTATGTAGGCGTGCGCGACTAGAATTTTGGTCTGTGGTATTTTTTTGGACCACTTCTTTATTATTTGGCTCTTTCCTAACAAGACGAGTAACGTTAATAT